CTTGCTCTGTTTTTGTTCCTTTTCTCTAGTTCCTCCTAGAAGAAAACTCATTTCTCATTTTGCCTTTATTTTCCTCCCTTACATTCCAATGGCTGGAAAGGTCTTGATGAGGATCTCTTCCCCAAAGCATCCAGCAACTGTAACTCCTCTGCACCACTGCCAGGTTTTCTTCAGAGCCAGTCTCTTGTCTCTCATTTACAACTAGCCCTTGCCTTGCATATCTCCAACATGCTACAGAGCAAAACCAGGGGCTGGATTTTACTGCAAGCAGAAGAAGTAGGACTACCTGAGGTTCTGGCACTGTGAGTGTACTCCCTTCATCACCATATTTTGCTGGACTTTTATGAAAAGGAAGAAAAAAAATATCACCACCCAACAAAATCCCACACCAAGAACAGCCTCCAGGCTTCACCTTTTTATACGTTCACAGAAGAGTTGAAAGTTATATTAGTTATATTAGTTATATTTTTAGGCACTAGCTCTTAGTACCACTGGTCTTCTGCCTCTTGCAATGATCTATCCTGAGGTACTTGATGGCATCTGCAATGCATATTGAATTAAGACTATTTATTTATAAGGAAAAAAATAATGTAGTAGCCTGGGAATATTCCTTACCTTCCCCATGGTGTCAAAAAAACCCGCCAACTTTATGGTCTTTGCTTCTCAGGAGGTTTGCTCCCTCAGACTTTTCTACCTCTAGTGTAAATGGGATATTCCAGGAGCAATGAATGTGTCCTTATACAGTTTGCTTTGCTGATGCAAAAGCACCATTTCTCTGACTTTTAATTAAAAAGGCACCTTCATTTCAAAGCCTGTCTCCAGAGCTCCAGTGTAAATGTTTATACAAGCCAGAGACATACAGAAAATAGAGAAGATTGAAGCAGCAGTGACTGCAGACTGCCCAAATACATCTGCTCTTGTATTTTTGACACAGAACTTGAGCTACCGCAGAGCCTTATCAACCCCAAACATCTTTGTTTTCACACCAACCAACACAAGCCTGGCAGTATCACTACGGCTGCAGTTAGTTTGCTCAGCAAACCCGGCAGAGGGAGCAAAAGGCAGCGCTGTGCTCTCACGGACAGGAGGAAAGGGTATTTGCTTTTCACCTGCAGAATGGCCAATGTCAAAGAGAGGGAGAAAGAAAAAAAAAAAAAAAAAAAAGAAAAAAAGGCTATCTGCTCTCATTTGCCTCATTGCCATGGATGACAACACTCCCACTCAAAACAGATGGCTAGTTTTTCCTTAGGTCACACTAGGAATTAGACGAAAGGAAGATTCAAAAAAATTCTGAGGTGGGGTAGGATGCCTGACTGGTCCAATTTGCTCCAGTTCCCATCTGGCTGCTCTTGGCTCCGAGGTGCTGTTCCCATACCCCAGATCCTGCCCCATCTCCCTCAATGAACTCTTTCCATTTGAAAAGACTCTGGGTCAAACACTGTAGCTGAACAGCAAAAATTTTGCAAGCGCTGGAAGTTACACCAGATAGCCCCGATAAAGACAGGCAATTGAGACTGGAGCTACAAAAGCCACACTTTACAGAGTTTCAGCAGTTCTGCAAAAGCACTCTGCCACTATCAAAGCATACAGAAAAATAGAAAAGTCGGAAAAAATTTATATTTGCTTTTATTACAATATATATTTCTACCCTTGTTGCAGTCAGCAGATCAAAATGAGGTGTTAAAATGATTTTCATCATTGCAGTAGCACACACATATACAGAGTAAATACTGTATATAAATAGGCTTTGAAATAATAATCCGTATCTTCAAATAAAAAATACCCAATACCCTCTTTCTCCTCCCTCCCCAAATTACAGCAGTAACATTTTATCTTCAATGAAACTAATGCAACAAGTATGGCATTCTTTCCCTCACATGACACAGCTGGAGCAGTATGGTCATCAGCTTCAAGAAAATAAACATTAGTCACTCCTCACTGCTGCATATTCTAGTTTATGTGTATTGTATAAATAGGATATACTGTGATTTAATGTGTCTGCATATTTATGTTAGCCAAATATTCTTTCTGTAACAGAAACCAGCATTACACTGCAAGCAAGGTTGAATTTTTTTCTTTCACAGAAAGAGTAGGAATTTGTTAAACCATCCCTTTTTCTTCTACATGAATTAACAAAGCAATTTAAATATTATGCATAAAATTGCTAAGCTACCAAACCAAGATGTCTTATACTCTCTGAAAAAGTATGGTGAAGTTTCTAGCAGGTCAAAACTTTGATTTTCATAAGTGTCTCTTCTGTGAGCAAATTTGATAAACATTAGTTATATAAACACACATCCATTTCACTGTTCAGCTATACTTCAACTTTCAGATACAAAGGGGTGTACAGTATGTCAGAAGTAAGGCCTTTAACTTCACAGAATCACAGAAATGTTGGTCAGAAGGGACCCCTGGAGGTCATCTAGTCCAACTTCACGCTTGATCTAGCGTTGACAATCATCTGCTTCAAGTCAGCCATCACTCTGTTTAACTGCCTTGAAAAACTCTGGGACAGAGATCCTGCAGCGTCTCAGGGTTACCTGTACCAGTGCTGCACTACACCTAAAAATCTGATGGAATTAAAATGACCACTCATTCACACTATCATTTGTTTGAAATACTAATGGCAACAAACAACCCTGGATTAGCTATTTATTAAGTTATAAATAAATACATGCCAGGCTTTAATTGTGGAGAACTTTGAGGGACCATCTTTTCTGGTGGAAGCTATTGTGTGCAATACCTTAGGAAAATAGATCTTAACTACCGGGAAGGATAAAAACCACAAAACTTACAGTCTCTTACTGAAGAGAAGGGTTGGTTTGGTTTTATTTTGCATAATAAATGGATTGAAATAGGCCTTTACCAAAACTGAATTAAAATAGGATGCAGTTAGTATATTCATCCATTAATTCAATCATTAATGACAAGTATTAATAGATACTTAAAGGAAAGTTAAAGGAAAGTGTGGCTATATTTAGAGATGCAACCATCTCAGTTTGGCAACCTGCGATCCCCACTATTGTCTTTCAGAAAACCCACACCACATTTCTTCCATCTATAAGTAAAAAGATATTTGCATTTTCTTTAAACTTTCAAGAGAGCATTATCCATCTGGGTTGTTAAACACACATTTCTTCCTCTCTGTGTTTGTCTAATCCTGGTATCTCCCAAGTGGGCATGCACCTTGCCCAAAGCAGCAACGTTCATGTGAAAAGGAAGACTTAGGGAGGGCTCACCACTGCACACTGCAGCTGTATAAAGGATTGCACTTATATTCATTACTATCGAAGGCACAGGGAAATCATAAATTGCCCCCCCTGACATCCCACATAAAGTCTGCAGCGCTAGAAGTTAGAAAACCCCAACTATAGAGTTACCATCCTACCTATGTCGCTATTACTTCTGACATACAAAACCAGAATTTGTTGAAACAGAACAAATGTGAGATACAGCAGTTGTTCCCAAACTTTTGGGTGCTAACTGACCACAGTCACACATTAAAATTTCTCCTGAACCACTCTGCCTTCCTATTACTAAACTCTTAACTGAAAACACTACAAAGCAGCTGCAAAACATGTACCATAGCCTCACAGATCACAAGCTGGCAGAGACCACAGCTTGTGAACCACTGTTTTAGCCATACTGAAATACAATATACATGGAATCCCATGATGCTATTTTCTGTGTTTCCGAGAACAATTAGACTTTTAAATATACTTTAAAAGGAAAAAAAAAAGTTTCTTTCCCAGCTACAAGCACATTTGAGGATCGTTTGGCGTATGGTCACTTGATGCCTACATTTTAAGTAACGTAACACATTGTGTAAAGGCAGACCATTTGGAAAACGTTATCAACTGATCTGCAGTATTGCTTTTAGCACGCACAGTTAAGTCTTAAGGCAGTCAAAAGCAGGTAGCAAAAACAGTATCTACAGCTTGTGTCTGGACAAATAAGGAAAAAAAAGAAGATGAAAAAGGAGATTTCATTATCTTGGAGGAGAGTAAATTGCACTAAAAGCATCCATTCTTTAGGATACAAAACCAAAAAAAATTCCATACACTAAAAACCTGAGATGCATCATTCACCAGCATCAAAGTTCACATTTTAGCCAAAATAATGTTTCAAATAAAACTAACACATTTTGACAAAACCCTTAGTGTTCTTGGCTCAGTAATGATCTTGAAACTCAGCACATTTGGTGGATAAGATGTCTTTACTGAAAATCACTGACTTCAGTAAGCTGGGCACTACGCACGGTGGCCTGTATCTTCCACTTGCACACTCACCTTAATCCAAATAGCTATTCTTGAAGCATGGTACTTCCCAAATTGAGAAAGACTGCCAGAACCTGGCCATCTCATTTAATTTGCTTTCTATTTAGATACACATCATTTATTTTCTCAGAAAAGTGGTACCATGTCAAAACAACAGGCTGGAATAAATCAACACAGCTCAATTGGCTCAATAGCTACACTGATTTACAACAGCTGAGGATCTAGACCAGTAATTAACTCTTAAACAAACAGTTGCTGGTCAACCATGAGGAAAAAGGAAGAATCATTTGCTCCTTTAGAGAAGCTACCCCTGTCCATGTCACCAAATGATGTCAGGACTGGTGAGCACCTTCAGCTCCCTTACTTGCAGGGGATGAAAGGTGACTTCAGTGATGCAGAAAAAATACAGTACTGCTTTACAACCTTATGGCATGTTTAACTGCAACTCCAACATCACTTCGCTTTTATTTGACCTTAAATAATGAAACTGTATGGCATAATTTGAGGAGCTGGGTGAAGAGCTACAAATGCCACTCCTATTCCTAGTAAGACTCCTTGTCATCTGGAAACGTGACTAAGTATGAAAAAGCATTTCTAAATTTGCTCAAAGCAAAATACAATGCTCACAACATCACAGATTCCGGCTGAACTGTCAACAGCAAAAGCCAGGTGCTGTCCTTTCAATACAAGCTAGCTCATTCTTTGAGCTGAGGCCAACAGTTTGGAGATGCAGTTAAGATGAGGCTGGATGTACATCCTGAGTTTCAAAAGGCGGTAGAGGTTCTCTCCAGTAGGTGAACTGACTGTAGGTATCAGAACAAGGGAAATCTGAAGAATGGCTTCTTTTCAGCAAAGGGAAAATATGATCTACCACTTCACATAGTCTGACATAGCTGGAAAATAAACAAATAAAAAGAACGCTGAACCATTTCAGATCTTCTTACTTTGAATTTTTGTAAGTCCCCAACCACTAAGGCATGGCTACTTTTACACAGACAAGTCATCCTCCTCAAATGAACAAAACTAAACTCGATTTTGGTGCCTAGCTTCCAGAGAGGATTTACAGTTCAGATAAGAAATCCATTCATTGTAAGCAATGATACTTACTTACTAAGAAACAGATGCGATTTTCCACCCAGATCACCTGCTAAAAATATTCAAGCCCCCTATCTTGCTTCTCCATGTCTGTCCAGCTTGGCTCAAGCAGCTCCCTGCTCAATTGATTATTCATATTTTATACACATATGGCTCCCCTTCAATTAAGGACACTCTTAACATTACTAAAGGCCATGTTCCTTCAGTGTTAGGTGCTACAGTGCCTAAGCATCTTGCTGGAAGCCCTCAGCCATATCTTCAGGTTTTGTTTTCTGGTTCTTCTAGATAGGAGCTCCAGGAAAGGGAAATTTTGAAAAGGCCATGAAAAGGCAGATGGCTTCAGGAAACTAGCTAATTTCATTTTTATGCGGACTAAATAGTACACTGATAATTCCTTTCCATCTACTTTATTCATGTAATATATTAAACTAAATACTAAACAATTCCTTTTTGTCAGTTTAACTGAAGGAAAGTGGAAAGTCTGTATTTTATTCTAAATTTTTTATGTTTTGTTTGAAATATTTTAAGTAATCAAATGCATCTTTCAGCAACTTGAGTCATAAATTAGAACAGCAAATTAATTTTGCCTATAAGGTGTTAGGGATAAGAGATTACTTACGATGAGATGTTTGTTTTTGCATGCTCTTGTATAAGTTCTCCTTTGGGGTTAACTGTAAATATTCTGTTTAAAGAAACTCCCACCTGTTTGTATGAATAAACATCCTAAACAGAAGAGAGGGGAAAAAAAAAAAAGAAAAAAAAAAAAATCGTGATTCTGCCTTTGCACAATAATGTTTATTCTTGCTGGAATATATTACACAGAAGAACATATTTGCACAGTATTGGTACTAAATTTACCTAGTTATTGTGTATCTGAAATTCTCTAGTATGTTACAAATGAGGTCAGTCTAACAAAATGCTTAGGAAACAGACAATTTGCAGCTAGGTAAGGAGTTTGCCACTTCAGTTTAAACTATTGATCAAAATCATGTTTGTTTTTTTCAGTAACTTCCCTTGACACAGAAGTAACATTTTATAAAAAACTAATGACATTTGGTGTAAAAGCATTTGCACTTTCATTTTTCTTCCAGAGAATATTTCATTTCCTGAGTGCGTTGCACCGAGTATCTTGCAACAGTGTACAGAGGTTAAAACATAACTGACACGTAAAATAGTGATTAGTTTGTAAGGACAAGATCACAAAATGAAGTCATAACAACTGTGTCTACATTAAAACCCCTGAAAACATCTCTTAGCTTCCGAGTTCGGATTTGTGCCGTACCCATATATTGACTTCATGTCAGAGCAAGGGGGAAAGAAGGGAAAGCAAGGAATACATGCCAAAATAGCAGCAGTGAGCCCCAGCAGGTAATGCAGATGCAACTCTTGAAAGTGCAATTAGAAGTAAGAATTAAGAATGTCTTCTAAGAAATTCAGATTGTTAGGAAAAGCAATGAGTAAGTTTTGATCTGTTCTGAAGAAAAGCTTGACAAAAGCAAAGACGAAAATAACTCCCAGAAGATCAGAGCAAAAAGAAGCTTCCATGTTACTAATATAAATCATTGGATATGGTTTTAAAAGCTGAGGTGGTGAAAGATTGGAATGTTAATGAAGATAAAAAGATTATTTTTAGCTCTATATTGTAAAGACTGTTCCAAAAAAATTAAGTAACTGAACAAAAGTGAACAGCAGTCACTTCAAGAATTCAGCATCCTGGCAGTCCATGCACTATCTACACCTGTAACATCCCTGAGTACAGAAATTTCACTGAGTTTATTCTGGGGGAAAAAACAAAACAAAAAAAACCAAAACAAGCAGCGCAGAAAATTGAGAAAGCGATGATCCTGATCTTCACAAAGCCAGGGGCACATCTCACACCTGAAGATGCACTCAACAGCGATCAGAGGAGTGAGTTACCAGTAATTCCTTTAGAAACATTAACTTACTGCTTTACTTGAAATTTTATTGAAGTATGCATGAAAATAATGATTTTACTTTATTTCCCTGAGGTTCAAATAATGGAACTAGAGGTAGACCTCATCCATAATTCAAAACCACAAAAGTGTCTAAAAAGTTATTTCAGAACCATATGTCTAAAGGTACCTTGATAACGGAAATTAAACTGTGTATGATATAACAACTTAATATAGCAATTGGACAGTGAGGACCTCCTGTCCTCTCTGACATAATGCTTTTAAAAATGTAATTTGCTAAAAGATGAAGCTGAAAAAGTTGCTGCTTATAAACGTCAGCAACCCGAACAAAAATATGAGACAAATGTAGAAACAAAGTCCCATCAGAAAGGCATGCTGAATCCTCTCAAATGTAGCTACAACATTCATGATTTCAGTGCCAAAATATCTTGCCAGGCACCTCTGTCCAACATTTAAGCATCTAAACTGCCCAGTCTCTGAACGTTCATATTCACACTGGCAATGGCCAGTGTCCACATTTATACTGATAATTTCCCCAAACTATCAATGTTTCTGGTAGTGAACGTATCTCAGCTCTTACAGCGCTGAGCAGCTAGGGCTGGAATCCATGGTCCTCAGGCGCTTCAGGGAGAAGCCTTTAGCTCTCGTAGAGTAGTGGACAAAGACAATTACCTAGCACACCTGAATTACTTACTCTCCAGACGTGTCCTATTTCTCTCTACCAACTAAAGAAAGAGGGAACCAACTGAAGTGTTCTCTTGCTAATCATACTAGGAAATATGAAGGGTCAAGGACCATTCTCATAAGACCGAATGGCATGGCCAGGATACAGGCATACAATTAAGTGGGTTTAGCTTCCAAAACAGGCTGGATACACCAAAGCTGCACAACAACAGTCCTTAGCCATAAACCCCACACTGGCATTACCAGGTTACTTGTTACACGTTAATATACTATGCATCAGTTTCTACAGCAAATACTACCTGACAATACAGAGCTGGAGGAAGTACCAAATGTTCTGTGGGGCTCCTGGGAACAAATAAGGGACCCATCTGCCTAATTTAGCATCTAAATTTAGGTGCCCAGTGACACTGTAAACATCTAAAGTAGGTCTTCTATATATACCTTCTGAGAGCAGGATGCTTTCCAAGATTTCAAAGGCACCTATAATGCTATCTACACTAGTAAAATAAACAGTGTGAGTGCCCATTCTCAGACTTGGAAGTCTCTTGACACTGTGTCAGAATTATTAAACTCTGTATACCCCTCCCCTCAAAAAAAAAAAAAACCAAAACCAACCTCTCCACACCCCCACATATATACACCCATCCCACCCCCCACCCCCCATATGGCTATATCATATATACGCCCATTGGGAAGAACCCATGCCCCAAACTAACACAGCAATCATATCCAGAAATTGCCTGGAAGACTGCTAGCTGCCTATACCAAAACAGTCTCTTGGATCATGTTAACAGTTTAAAAGAAGGGATAATCGCATGCCAGGGTCCCTGCCTCTGCAACCGTTTCCTTTTCTGGATGCACAGAAGTATTCTTTGGGCTAGGACAGGAGTAAGAAAAGCCTATAGCCCAATTATACAGCCTTCAAATGGGTGATGGAGGTCTCCCTGTCTCTGTCTGTGTCAAACAACATATCACTTTCCATGCAAAATAGAACCTTTTGATTTCAGTGGGACATCCAAGTTCTTTTGAATGTACTTAAGAGTTTGAAGAGTAAGTGCCACCAATATTCATCTGAAAAATTTTCTGTCTGTCCACAGGTATCTCACTGACACTGTATCAGTGTGGAATAAAATGAGATCAGTGTTTTCACACAAGCTTAAGGATATTTTAGTTAGGATTTCAACCAGTATTTACTGTTATGCTAACTTACGCAGATATAATGTAGTTACTTTGCTGCTCTTCCATCTCTGTTTGCATCCTACATTGTGAGATCTTCGAGGAAAAACCTTTATATTATCCTTTGTACATGGCCTAATAAAATATTCTTAACTCCCATTTAAAGCTTCTAGGTTCTAATGTAACAGAACCATGAAATAACAGCAACGTTTCTGTTCTCTGCAATAGGAATAAATTCAGCTATTACTTACAGCAGGTCTGTTTCCAAAAGCAGCATAAAAGGGTTCTGTGTTAGGATAAAACAAATTTTTGATGTCTGTCAAACACTGAACTTTAAATTTTTCTGGCTTCTTTTCTATCACCTCCCTGAAATGATAAAAACAGAGGCTGAATAAGTACACATGAAATACAGCACAAACCATTTTATCTTCTTTATTCAAACATTTTCACCTGGCTGGATACTCCTACAGAACCCCCACCCTTCTCCAATAAATCTTCATTTGTAAATCACAGTGCCCATGAAGACAAAATAGCATTCCCAAGCTTACACAATGGGCACAGTAAATAAATCATCTGAAACAAGGGAACTTCTATTAAAACCTACATTGAAAGATGGTACTGAGCAAGGATGGTTGATTACAGGGAGTAGCTGCTAAGTAAAGACTTACAAGACATAAATTGTCATCAAGTAAACTGCTTCCTGAGAACTGCAGAATGATTCATAGATTGTATTAGCCTTCACTGTCTGTAGCTTTATTTTTTTTTTTTAAAAAGGATTGCAATTACCATATGTGCTAGAAGCACCTCAGCCTGTTAAGATACTTCTACAGTCAGGGTCCTCCATCACTGCTAATTAGCAGAAGTTAAGGAATAAAGGAATCTTCTATTTCTCTTCAGTTGCTCCTTACAGAATACAGAATTCATTAATGAACAAAGGAGTTCTCATCTCTGGGCAAAAGCCCTTTCACAACAGCTTCTCTTGGCAAGGAGGCTGAACAGGTGGCAGAGTCTGAAGTTCCCATAACATAGGAAGATGCCAGCATGACACAAAAGCACCTAAGAAGCTCAGAATCCCACATCCTAGCACCAACACATATGTCAAGGAAGATGTGAATAGTACAGAAGCTTCATAGGAGTAATACAGCCCTTTGGAACAGCAGCTCCATGTATAAATCAAAGTTTGAGAATGTGCAAAAGAGGAATAAAACCATCTTTCCTCAGTCTCGCATACACCTGATCTCAGAGCCCCCAAAACCACAATAATTAAATCTATGGATAACAATGAAGTCATTTATTGACCACACATCACAGCAGTTACCATAGTGTACGCTGAAAGATGGGCATTCTTTAGTCTAAACAAGATACTAAAAAGAGTATCGCTTTAAATATATTTCTAGATATGAGGAGCATAAGATAACAGTAACTACCCTTCACTGCATCTATTATTTAATCAGGCTAAGAAGTGCACTGTAACACCTCCACAGTCTCTTATATTTAGAACATGACTGGTAAGACAGCCTGTAGCATGTCACTCAATCAGGAGAACATCTGAACAACCTTCCATTAAAAATTCTAATGAAATATATCAAGTCACAGCAGCTATTAACAGATTAAAATATTTTCAGTAATCACTTGACATGCTTCACTGAATTAGGAAGAAGGTATGATATTCATAATCTGTGCTATTATTATTATTCACTTATTTCAGTTTAACACCTAGAAAGAACAACATTGTCCACACAGAATACCACAGTGCAGTCAGGAGTATAAAAAGTTCATTTCATTTTCACATGAATTTCTTCAAAACCTACCAAGTTATATTCTTCCACAAAAAAATACTTACGCCAATTGGAACACCTTACAAGTCAAGACAAGAGTGATTGTTATTAATATGTGAATATTTTTCCTATAGCTAAATATTAACATATCATGTTAAACACATGAAGTCAACAGGCAGTACCCTATTGGTAAACAGTGAACACAGATGTATATTGAGGCATGTCTAGGAGATAAACTAAGCAATGTGACTGTCTGTTGAATTTTGGTCTTCCTCTAACAAAATTTCTTCTTAAGTGAATTTTGCACCAATATGTAAGAAAAAACATTATGAATTATTTCAAGCACTCCCATAAAAAGAGCTGAGAATTCAGCCTCCACCAATCTTTGAGTTTCTTTCTGCATAAAAGCGACATTGCAGTACCTGTGCAAAGCTGAGAATAAGCTGCTTGGACTCAGCAACACTGGCCCTTGAGGCAGCACAGTTCCTCGTTCATTGACCCAGTGCAAGTATCCTCTGGTCATGTTTGCCATTCCAATAGCACGTGCTGAGCAATATAAAAACTTATATCCATTTCTGTGAATAGAAATAAAAGAAGAAATTATTGTAAAAATAAAGCAGGTATTTTGGCATTAATAATTTTGTGGGTTTATTTTTACATGAATCAAATCATGACTCTTAAACAGACATGTTTAACTCAGACTTATTTAAAAGGAATAAAAACATTTATGCCAGAAACTTGGATAATTAAAATCTGTCTAGCTCCACTGCAGTTAGCGATTTACACCTAAAGAGGGCTCATTTATCTCCGGTCTTCTCATGGCTTATGACTGCTTATGGTTTTCTATCCGCCCGTGCATAGTGAAACCATACTCCTGAGAATTAACTGAAATGACATCTACTAAGAGGAAAACACTTGGCATAAAGCAGACAACGGTGTATTAGCCTTTGCTGTATTAACAGTATTGCACTCCTACTTCTTGGGCCTCTGCAAAACAAGACTAGTCTATGTGCAGCAGTAACATATTCCTTCAAGTCAGAGCAAATTTGAACTTCAAAACACAGTATGAGAAGTAATCTTTGACTTCACACTGAAATAAAAGTTTTGGCAGAAGTCACAGGTTACCCTTGGTTCTGTTCATGATAGAACAGAATTCAATGATGTTAGTTCAACTTAATGGCAATTTACTTTGCAAGTCCTATAAAGAAATTACTGTTCATAAAATAAATACCGTATTCAGTGTACGCATGGTCATTAAATCTAACTATTGAATATATATAGTGTTCAGCTATAATATCTAGCCCCTGCATAATTAACTCTGTAATTTGAAAAACAACATGACTCAAATTTTTTTTTGTTTGTTTATGATGACCAAAGCGCTAACAATTGACAATGCTGGCATAGAAATAACAACTGCAATTAAAAAAATTAACATTTTCACCAAATGTAATGCAGAGGTTATACACAGAACTAAATACTACTCAGCATGTGAATCCCCAGGCTGTCCTGTCTTTTCTGTGATCACATACGTATATAGAGAATAAAAGCACAGACAAGTGTCTCTGGCATAATTTAGATTCCACCATCCATAATTTATAATTCATCATCCATGTAAAACAAAAAGCAATAAACAAATCTTAGCATAAACCTAGTACACAGAACAAATCAGATTAACTAAGAGGACAGTTGTGATGTGTACCAGAGGTTCTTCAAACGTTTATGGTAATTTGAATATATAAGAACAGCTGAATTTAGTGTAATAAAAGAAAACCAATTTTATATTCTGCGTAAAGCAGAAATATCAACCTGAACAGACAGCAATCGGTAATCCTCCTTGTCAAAGTTAAAATCTGAATGCATAACATCAGAACATATCAGATAATTCATTTGATCCCATTCAGACATCAATTAATTTTTCTCCTCATTTCCTTTTTTCTCTCAATTGCTAGTCACAAAACTCACCATACTCTCAGTCTTTGATTCTTCACAATGGCTTGACTACATTGCAAAACGTATCCAGGGAACCAACAGTACACCTGTACTCTTCCTCCACTAGCCTTGCTCACCTAGAAGCATTCCCAGATACCACCCCATGTGAGTTGAACAGCCTGATTGTTTTTCTCCTGTTCATATTCATCAGAGGAAGTATCCCCGGTTTTTTGGAATACATTGTTCTAGGTCATACCAGGATGCTCTCTCTGTTAATGACATTAACTGACCTAAAGCACAGCTGACCTACTGTTGCCCGTTATTTCTTCAATAGCTAAAAAAGTAGTTTTTTTCAAAACCTCATTAGATCTCTGGTATATTGAGCTACTTTTTGAAGATGCCTGTCTTTCTCCACGGATTACACAGAGAGTACAAGCCACAAGCAAACATGATGAAACCAGATCCTTCCACCCACAGTGGCACAGAAGGTATTTATTACTGTGGACCAACAGGCACCAGTGCAGATCAACTAGTGAGCTATAATAAAGCAGCTCACAGTGGTGTTGCCAGGTAAAAGCCAATTCCTCAGACCCTTCACAGCGTATGTCTTATTGACTTTCAACGCCTTTAAATTGCACTTTAAGCAATGTTTACTTATCACCTACTCTCAAAATTAACCAATGACACAAAAATATTTTAAGACAGATCCTTCCTAGCTTTGCTATTTAATAATGGAATAACAATAAATATTTATACACAGAAATAACAAAATAAATTGTATAATCATCAGTAGTAAAGATCATCATCAATGTCTTTGAAACTCATCATTATTTATACAACAAATAAAGCAACAAGAATATTAGCAGTGAGCATCCAAAATGGGTCCGTTTCCACTCAAGATACGACATCGTGCTGTGCTTTAAGGGTGATATTTATCTTGCTTGACTAGAAGCCTAATGTTTAGACATCTCAAGTCTAAGCTGTTTCACTAAACTCCCTTTCTACTCACTGGAAAGAGAAAGAACTCCCCCAAATGGGTTCATCCCATATGTTTTAGATTTCATCCCTGCATGACTCCAGTCATGAGTCAAGTTTGGCAAGAAGAACTCCACCTACAGTGACCACCCTAGGCTAAACAATCCTTATGCATTTCACAGTCTCCTCAGGAACGAGAACTAACTGTAGCTATCTGTTTGGGAGGGTTGGAAGGAGCAATCACTACTCATCGGAAGGGGGCTTTTGCTTTTGATATCACAAAACAGGTTTTGCTCTGGATATCATACAGCAGATGTTTACACTGTGTAAGCATCACTGAAGTGATGAGATATTGATAAAATTGTCACCCTTACAGGTTAAGAGAAGGCTAGAGAAATTTTAATTTTTATGTGCAAATGAATAAACACAAACAAGCCACAGATGCGTGAACAGATTTACTGAATACTCACTGGCTCACTTTATGGTACAACTTTGCAATCCCTTGGTGCGTCCAGTCTTTGCCAAGAGTTGGCAAGATATGACCTAAAGTATCTGACCTGAATAAAAGAAAAACAATATAATTGAACTAAAAAAAACCCCCAATACTTATAATAACAGATGAGGCTAATACAAACCTCACTAACTTACTTGGCTAGCAAAAAAGGAAAATAAGGTTTTCTGTAAGGAATTGATTGTGATCAGAAGATGATTTTATTCCCCTTTCTTTTGAGATAGGCTGACATGCCCATCCTTGGCTATGTTGTTTTAATTACTCTTTGCCTCAGGACTTGTCTTCATGGATAAGCTCGTGACCCATAAGGTAACATGGAAGTTACAGCATATAGACTATCAAACAGATCTGTGTGGTAGGCCAGCCAGTACTAAGGATACTTTTTGAGGTTTATGTTTTCTAAATAAACCAAATTACCCATAAGGGAAGTTGATGGGAAATTACAAGCATGAGAGTGACATTCTAGCTTACTTCAAACTAACTTCTACACATAAAGCCGGCAGTATAAAGTATTATGAAATAGTTATACTGGTTTCAATGTATTTCCTACTTTACACAAGAGAAAATTATTTACACTATAATAACATCTAGAAATTCAAACAAATGAGCACCTCACTTGACTAAGCATTATACAGATACACGGCAAGAAATCCACACCCTGAATATCTTGCATCTCAGAGAGAAAACATTGGGCAGTGGCTTAGGATGGATTTGCAATGGTATTATAAGGTGAAGTGATTCAGTAACTCTCTGGTCAGCTAAACAGCAGAGAGAAGAGTAGATCCCATTCACTTTATTGAAGCTTAAGAAAACAAAGGGAGGGGGGAATATTAATTTATGTTGGCACCAAAAAAAAAGTTTGCCCTACAATGGATAAATCACAAGGAAGAAGAGAGTTTCAGTTTAAATTAAGTATTTTAATTCACCCCAGATTTCTCTTGGAAATTAGTTTTCCTTGTGCTTTTTTCTAATTAGACATAGTTAAGTTTGATTTTAAAAGAAACTAATTTTGAAACAAATCTAAGCATTTAAAAGGTCAAAAGAAGATGTTTATTTTTTTTATTATGTGTTTCCCTGTTCCACACACAATTGTTTTCCCCAATGTTAAATAAATAAATAAAAATCAGTGAGTGAATCGTTTTGGTTACTCCAAAATTGTGGGGTTTACCCAAAGTACTAATCTGAAACTTTCCATTAAATTCTAATTCTGACATTGATTTCAGAGTCTTGTCTTCTAAATAATAATGCCTCTCACTGGAATGCCCCACTAATGCTTTTTAAAACAGAATTCATGTGTTTCTTCTTTTTAATGTCGCCAGTATACTTCAGAAGTGTGATGCAGCAAAAAGGTTATGATGTTGCAGAAGATCCTCCAACACTACTGTAAATACTATCATGAAACACCAATAGGTTACCAATAATGGGCACATATGGCATATGTCTTTATGAAATTAAGAATTCAGCTAGTAATTCTTGCATTATTTGAAAGCCAAATTAAAAAAAATTTTAAAACCTCACCCCCAACGCCCCCCAAAACACTAAAATATGATGATTCCATGACTCAAAATTCCCTGTTAATTACTTTTTCCTTTAATCTCAAGGACAACTTGTCATTGCAGATAAAGCCTCTCCCTGTTCATGAACTCACCGTGTGATTGTTCCGTCAATGTCAGATATAACAACTTTATCATCCCAATTCCACAGGTAAATAGTGCCTTCGCAGCGGCAAGTGCCTTGGTACTGTGTTGTTACACTAAAGGTCACATCATTAGGGCCATTCTTGAGCTTTAAGCTTTTCTGCAAGACATTATCAGCAAGATAATCAACAAACTGAGCATGTGAAATGGACACAGTGCAAACAAAGCCACAGATGATCATTGCCTTGGTCACACTGAATCCTACTGTTTTCAGCAGAGCTATTGTCTAAATAACAATAGCAGAGGTTTGCCCTGTGTGGTGTACATTAGGCATTGATTTATAGAGCAGAACAAAACAAAACAAAAAAAAAATCTGTTTCACAGTCAGGGATATAAAAAAAAGAAAATCCCAAAAAGTTCACATAAACAATAACAAATTATGGAATAGGGACTATCTATGGGGGTTTTCCATTCTGAGATATAGATACATATGCAGAAAGAAATGTGGGTAACAAGGAATTCCATGAGCTCTAATTAAGAGTGTTTATATGTGGATTTGTGTTCTACAGTATTATGTCTCTTTCCTATAATAATCCATCTCTCATACCATATGACCTGTTACCCATCAGCCTCCACCAGATTTCCTTAACTCTCCCACTTCTCTGCCCTTCCCTCCCACTGTCTCCTGTGTCACTTAGTGACACACTGGGCAAGAGACTACTGATTTGATTCTATCTGTGGACCTAAACATTTTCACAAAACCTGCAGGAGTTTAGTAGGCAACTCTCTTCTGAGAGGTACGGAGGGACATTTGCTGACTGGACACACTCTCTAGAGAGGTGTGCTGCTTACCGGGGGCTCGTATCAGGGATGTCACCGAGAGGCTACCAAGCCTTGTACAGTCCACTGGCTATTATCCGCTGCTATGGTTTCACGTGGGCACCAGTGATACAGCCAGGAGCAGTCTGAGGACTACCAAGAAGGATTACAGAGCCCTGGGAGCGGCAGTAAGGGACTCTGGAGCGCAGGTAGTTTTTTCATCAATCCTGCCCCGCCCCCCTGTCAAAGGGAAGGGGTTTGAAAGGGCCAGTGGAATCTGGCAAGTCAACAAATGGTTACGGGACTGGTGCCACAGCCAGGGGTTTGGCTACTTAGACCATGGGACTTGCTTTGAGAAACCTAGTCTACTGGGGGCTGATGGGGTCCATCTGTCAGAGAAGGGGAAGAGGATCTTCGGGCACAGGCTTGCCAAGCTGGTGAAGAAGGCTTTAAACTAAAGTTGCGGGGGGAGGGGAACCTCAATCCATCCCACTCCTACCAGTTTGATGCCAGGGCCAGCAATAGATGCACTGAGCCTGGAGAAGGATCACAGGTCAGCAGGAGAGCGCCTGAAGAGCAACACAAACAAACCCCAGCCAGTAAAGCAGCTTCATCAGGGGCCCAACTTAAATGCCTCTATGCAAACGCACGTAGCATGAGGAATAAACAAGAGGAGTTAGAGACGTGCGCACACCTGCAGGGCTACGATCTTATTGGCATCACAGAGACATGGGGATAGCTCCTATGATCGGAGTGTTGGGATGGAGGGATACAGACACTTTATGAAGGACAGGCAGGGGAGACGAGGGGGTGTCGCCCTCTATGTCAATGACCAGCTGGAGAGCACGGATCTCCACCTGGGCACGGATGAGGAGCCAACCGAGAGCTTGTGGGTCAGGATTAAAAGTGACATTACAGTGGGGGTCTGCTACAGGCCACCTGACCAGGAAGACCAAGCGGATGAGGCCCTCTATAGGCAGATAGGAGCAGCCTCACGTTCACAAGCCCTGGTCCTCATGGGGGACTCCGATATCTTGTGGAGGTACAACACAGGATTGTGTTGGTTCCTGGAAGGAAGGTTCCTGGAATGCATCAATGATAACTCCCTTCTCCAAGCGGTAGAGGAGCCAACGAGGAGAGGTGCTATGCTGGACCTTGTTCTCACCAACAATGAGGGGCTGGTGGGGAATGTGAAGCTCAAGGGAAGCCTTGGCTGGAGTGACCATGAAATGGTGGAGTTCAAGATCCTTAGGGCACGGAGGAGGGTGCGCAGCACGCTCACTACCCTGGACTTCAGGAGAGCAGACTTTGGCCTCTTCAGGGATCTGCTTGGTAGAGTGCCATGGGACAAAGCCCTGGAGGGAAGAGGAGCTTTCAAAGATCACCTCCAAGCTCAGGAGCGATGCATCCCAA